TTTATTTGTTTATTTGAAAGGCAGAATGACAGAGATTGATTGACCGATTCTACTCACTGGTTCACTCCTCAAATGTCTGCATCAGCTAGGTCTTGGCCAGGCTGAAGCAAGGATCCAGCAACTCCGTCCAGGTCTCCCATGTGGGCGGTAGGGACCCAGATACTTGAGTTATCTTCTGCTGCTTTCCCAGGCACATTTGTAGGAAGCTGGCTTGAAGCAAAGTAGCCAGGACTTGAACAGACTTTGTAATACCGGATGCCGACATTGCAAGTGGTGGCTTAATCTGCTGTGCCAAAATGCCAGCCCCCACTAGTGAGCTCCTGACTTACATTTCTGCACTGAATAAATGAAGAAGGCTGACCAGAGACAATGGACCCAAAGGCAGTACTGGCTCTGCCTCTCACTGGATGGTGACCATGAGCAAGACATTTGCCTTCTCTGAGCCTCAATGTCCCCACTGGCAAAGCAGGAATAATGATAACGCCTACCACTTAGAGCGATCAGGAGTCACAGGAGCTCACAGGGTGAGTGCTCCACACAAACAGAGCAGCCCACAATCAGCTGTTAGGACTGTCACTCTTCCACACAAGGGAAGGGCACGGGCAAAGGAAAAGAGGCTGGTGGGGGAAACACTTCTCTCAAAGTAGGCGCGTCTGGAGCCAGACAGAAAGGGACTCCCAGATCTTCGCTCAGCTGCCAAGGCAGAAAGTGGGACGCTTCAGCGCGTCACAGACTCCAAGCACAGGGGTGCCATCCTCAGGCACCCAGAGGGATCACCACAGGCAAAGCGTCCCCTGATCGCCTGCCCTCCTCTCCATCCTCTGCCCCAGGGCCCTTGCCTCAGCCAGAGTCCCATACTCAGCCAATCGCGACAACATTGGCTCTATCCCAGGACACAGCCCTGCCCACATGGCCAGAGGGATCTTTCTTTCTTGTGTTAGTAAGGCCCTTTACTAACTGGAAAACAATTATCTAACTTGTTAACTGCAAAACTACTCTCTGAAGGTAGTATAAAAATTCATAACCAGTGAAAGGTAAGAACTGTTTCAGGCATAAGCAAGCCCAGGACACATGGGTAGGTACAAGTGTCTACACGCAACCTTTGTTGTACAGATGGTCCCTTCCCATGAGTCACAGAGACCTAACACTGCCCCTCACCAACCAGGCAGCTGTGAGGCCTCAGGCATGTGGATGCTGCACCAATGTGGGATTTGCTGGTTGTGGGGTGGGGCTGACAGGTCGGATGAAGGGAAGCAGCATGCAAAGTCATCCCAGGCTCCTCCTTCTGAATACCCTGCATCTGCCAACTTTCCCTCAATTCAACCTAGAGACGTCTGAAACCCTCTGCTCCTCCCTCCGCCCCTCCTTACCAGGCCCTCCCAAATGAGGCCACGCCCAGTGTCACACCCACAAGTGTTTCTCATTGCGAGTTCTTCCTCACTCACTCCACAGATTGCTTTTGAATCCCATCCATGTAGCAGACGCTGAGCTAGGGACCAGTGACACTGTAGCCACTGCCCTGGAGAGCCAACAAAGGAGGCAGGGCCTAAGGTATCCAATCCATGCCCCACACGCCTTGACACAGGTTACCTGTCTGCCCAGACCAAGAGGAACAATCTTGGCATCCCAAGCTGCCCACTCTCCAGCCAGCAGGAGGAGGTGAAAGGGCAGGAGGGCAGTCGTGGGAGGTGCCCATGTGGAGGGAAGATCACTTTCTGCAGGGTGAGGACCCCCAGAGCTGCTCTAACTCTGCTTGGGGGGCTGAAGAACACTGGGCCTTTGAGGCACAGCAAGAGCCACATGCACCAACTGAACAGCTCAGGTTTTAGGGGAAGCCAAGGCCCAGAGCAGGCAAGTGACTGAAGCAAAGCCACACAGCACATATTTGGCAGAGAGAGGGGATCCACCCCTCAGGTTTCCAGCTCTCTCTGTAGGTGTAGATGAATTTTAACTCCTCCAACACTGATGCCCCAAGAAAAAGAGAAAAGAGCTTAAGATCTTCTCTCTGTGCTTTCTGCTGATGCTCCAAAGACCTGGGCCTCTGTTTATTTCAATTGCTACAGGAGGGGGACAAATCAAAAGAGATGCAGGTTAAGACAAGGGAAACGGGACAAGGACAGACAAGGATGGAGGGGAAGGCATATAGCGAGGCAGAGAAAGGAGGGATGTAGGGGAGGAATGACAGGTCTGAGGCCAAGGAACAGAGGAGCAGACAGAGGTGTTTCAGTCCTGGGGAGGATTAATAAAAGAGAGAGGGCGTAAAGTCAGAGAAGGACAGAGACAGAAAGGTGCAGAGAAAGAGAGGCAAAGACCAAGAAAAGCAGAAAAAGAGACGAAGGGAAGGGAAGGGAAGGGAAGGGGAGGGGAGGGGAGGGGAGGGGAGGGAGGCTGGGGTTACCCGGGCCTTCTGCAAACTGCTTCCCCAACACCCTCTCTGCTGCCCCTCACACCAGCAGTCCTGTGGGGTGTGCGGTGTTATCCCAGCCCCTGAAGTGGCTGTTCAGAGCACAGCTGAGACTGATACATGGGAGGAGTGTCCAACTCTTAGCCCTGACTCTTTCCCCTTTTACCCAGCTGCCTCCCCAAGAAGAGAGACAAGTTCAGTATGGAAGGGACAGGGATAGGCCCTGGGGTACCAAGGTGCTGGGCTGCTATAGGGGGTCTACAGGGGAGGGGCATGACTCCTCTCCTCTGGCGCCCGCAGATGCCCCACCTGTTCTTATCCTGCCTTTGGCCAAAACCTCCCTCAACCTGTGGCCATCATCTCCCTGCTTGCCCATCCCTGTTCCTCCTCCTGCCCATTACTATGCCCCCCCAATCACTCATCCAGAGCCCCTCTTTCTGCTCCCCTACAGGTCTGAGGCTAGAGAGGGGAGGACAGAGGCCTAGATGTGGGAAAGAGGACCTGGTGGATTACTGAGGCTGTTCGGAGACTGCGGCTGACATGGATGAGGAGGAAGAGGAGAAGGCCTTGGTGATGGACGATGCTGATTCTGTGGTGGGGGGACGGCAGGAGAGGGGGTGGAGGAGAGCTGGGGGAGGGGTGGTAGGAAGCAGGTTGGTGGGGGGAGCAGGACCAGGCTCACATTTGGCATTCAGGGCAGCTGACAATAAAAATGCTTTATTGCCAAGAAACTGGATCGATCGGGGCTGGAGGGGGCCGGCAGGGGGGACGCGGAGGGCTCAGCGCAGAGGCCGGCGGCCCGGCCTCTGCAGCGACCAGGGCCTGAGCCGCCCTCCCCCCTGCGCCCCCCTCCCCGCCTCCTGCCCTTTCTCTCTCCTGAAGCCACCGCTTAGTTCTTATTATATTTTTTCTTATATATTTTTCCCCCAGCTTCTCCTGCTCCTGTTTTTTTTTTTTTTTCTTTTAATTTTTTTTAAAAAACTCACCACACTCCCAATGCCGCAGGCTGGGTGGGGGCACCTGCCCAGGCTGAGCCCCTACCCACAGGGCTTCCAGGGCTGTTGGCTCTGGAATGAGCCTTACTTTCCCTCTATATCCCCCACTTCAGCCAGGCTCCCCCCAAGTCTGTCCCCTGCCATGGATCCCTATCTCTTCCTGCCACCCCCTCCTAAGGGCCTCCTCCTGTCCCAGGGGCACCCCTCCACCAGTGGGCTCAGGCCTTGGTCAGGACTTCCACCCTTCCCCCCCCTACCTGGCCCCCTGCTCACTCCCCGAGCCATTTAGCTGATGGTCAGAACTGTCCGTCAAGGGGCTCTGAGCCCCTGGGGACCCAGATGGGAGGAGGGAGGGGGAGAGGTCGGGGGTCAGGCCACGTCCCCTCAGCTCCTCTTTTTCCCCTCCCCCTTCCTAACAAAGGGAGCCAGGATGCTAAGGAGCGGGGGCAGCCTGGTACTCAGGGAAGCAGGGTGGAGAGGGTTGTCTGGACGGTCATGGGTAGGGATGAGGGTGGGGGGGCTGACTCGACTGCCCCTCCTCTGCCCTCCCCCTCGGGTCAAGGCTAAGGTGATTCCTCAACCTCTCTGAGGCTGAGCTGGAAGGGGAGGAGGATCTGGACAGACAAAGAACCAGAGCCCCAGGGAGTTGGGGGCTGGGGGGGTTGCACCTGAGACCCACAGTTGTGGTTGAGGGAGGAGCAGCAGGCACCCCCTCTGGCCCTGGGCTCACCCTCCTGATGGCCCTGCCTCCCATCTACACCAATCCCTGCAGATCTTAGAGCCATACTGAACCTTCAAGCTGGAGCAGAGTTGGAGGGGGGTAGAGAGAAACTGAGGCCTAGAGAGGGGAAGCAGGGCCAGGGTTAGGATGGAGGACGGAAGCCCAGCCCCAGGGCTCCCGCACTGCCCTACAGCCCTTCCCTTCTCAGGTCTTGTCCTAGCGAGGAGGGATATCTTCCTTCCCTGCCCTTCCCCACCCAGGTCAGGGGCAGCTAAAACACTAGGGCAGATGGAAGAAGGTTCTACAGACCAGGAAAGACCAAGCCAGCGCACAGGGTGAGGGACCAGAAGAAATAAATTAAATGTGATCTGTCTGTAGCAGTGGCCTGGCACAGCTGTGGGAGAGTGAACATCAGCAAGGGCAGGAAACCATCATGGATAGGTGTTCCTAGGTGCAAAGCTGGTGACAGTGAACAGGGGCCTTCAGAGAGGTTTCCACACTTGCTTACGGTCACACAGTGTGGAAGAATCCATACCCACCTGGGGCCTTGGGGCCTCCCACCTTCCCAGCCTGCCAGGGAGGCCAAAGGGAGCCAAGTCAAGGAAGCCGGCACACCCACAAAGGGTAAGGAGAGGTCAGAGAGACAGAAAGAAAGGGATGAAGATTCTGTGCTTAAATTCCTCCACCAAGGCTGCAGTGGCTCCAGGAAGAGGGCCGCAGCCAGAGGGAAGGGGGGAGAACAAGGCAGGCCTCTTCGGGGCAGGGGTGGACTAAGCTCAGACATGCCCCCCCCAGCCTGCCAAGGAAACCCCAGATGGGCCCAGGACTATAGGGGTCCCGGCTGCCCTCCCCCAAACCTCCCCTCCCTTTTCTCCCTCTCTTTCTCGGCTGGCTATCGACCGGGCTGTGACATGGTAGATCAATACGGCAGGGATATAAAGCCGGCTGGCTGCCTGCCTGCCTCTGTCTCTCTCTCTCTCTCCCTTGCTTGCCTTGCTTCCCTTTCCCCGAGCCGCATCCAGGCCTCCCAACCCCCAAATGTACCCCTCACCCCAGCCTCTGAGGGGCCAGGGTCCCCCCAGCTCCCTACAGTGGGAGAGCTTAGGGGGGCTGACAGCTTGGACAGCCAGGAGAGGGGGTGAGTATGAGAGTGTGGGAGTGGGCAGGGAAGCAGATGGGGATGGGGACTTACAGGTAAGGGGGCTGTGATAAATGGAAGAACGGCCCCCCTGGGAGAAAGCAGGCCTCCCCTCAGTTGGGAGCAGCTCAGGGAGATGGGGCCCTTTGAAAGTATGTGAGGGACAAAGCTCTGGGGGGTGGGCAGGGACCCTTGGGGCTGGGCAGACACTGCCCTGAGCCTGTGGGGCAGGGTAGGGCTTGGGGGTGATGAGGTAAGCTACAGTGAATGGCTGCAAAGAAGAGCAGGGCACCCCCGGGCACTCCCGCTGCTCACACACAGGACCTCATCCTGCCTCATCCTTTCGGTCTCTGTGGGTGGAAGCTAACTTGGCCTCACCCCAAGGCCTGGCCCACCATGTGCAGTGAGGGTGGGGGTTGTGAGGCATCGGACAGGAGATTCCCATGGAGGGCTGCGGTGTCTGCGTTGCCATGTATGTGGGCTTTCATGTGTCCTTGAGCTCTGCTGGGGACTTGGGGACTGTGTGACCCGAGTGTCCTGACTCCTGAGTCATGTCTGTGGGTGTGTCCCAGGGGCACTCGGTGGCTGTGTGTATTCTTCCACGAGTGCCTCCCTGACCTGGGTGTCTCTCGGGGACTTACAGATGTGTCCCCAGCTGATGGGGTGGCTGTGCTCCTGTGGGCTCTAGGTTATCCGTATGTGCTGGCGAGTGTGTCTGAGCGCAGGTGTCTGTGTGAGTCCCTGGTGTCCCTGTGTGTCTCAGGGACTCCATGCGGATGTCTCTGTGTGCATCAGAGACTCCCTGTCTTTGTGTCAGATTCCGGGGGATTTCTCGTGTGTCTACGTGACTCTGTGTCCCCATGTGCTGAGGCCGAGTGTGCTTCCACGACTGGGCTAGAGGCTCTGGGTGTGTCCCTGTGTGTGTCATGGGGACTTGGTGCACTTGATGGGGGGGGAGGGCGGTAACCCTGAGTGAGTGGGGGAGGGGGCGAGGCAGCAGATGCTGGTTAGCTGGTTTTATTACTACAAAGTCTCCAAATACGAATGTGAGGAACTGTCTGCCTTCTTCCCTTCCCTGCTAGAGACCCCAGACCCCTGCCAAGATGGACCTGCACCCCCTCCCTACCCCACCTTGGGCGGGCCGTACCTCTGCTCTTCAACACCCCCTGCTTTGGTGGACGCCACCTTAACTCCACCAAGCGACCTCCGTCCCTCCCAACCCCCCCAGCGCCACCCGCTCCCCCCGCCCTCCCCCCACCACAAGTCCAGTCCAACCCAGACAAAAGCAATTACTCCTGAGGTAGGATGTGAGTGTGGGTGTTAGAAACAGAAAAAAAGGGGGAAGGGAGGGGGAGCAAGAGAGACACACACACAGAGGCAGGGGAGATCGGCCAGAGACCCAGAGACAGGAGCCAGAGTGAGACCGCAGCGGCAGAGAGGAGAGACAGAGGGACACACAGAGAGAGGCAGAGACAGAAGATGAAAGAGACCAGAAGGGACACAGATACAGAAACAGGAGGCAAAGGCAGAGAAAAAGAGCAGAGGAAAGGCAAATGGAGAGAGCATGACAGGGGAGAGAGACAGAAACAGAAAGCAGAGAGACAGTGAGAGGAAACTCAACAGAAAGAGAACAGAGAGAAGATGCAGATAAAGAGATGGGGAGAACCGGGAAACAGGTAGAGAGGAGGTGAGGGGCAGATCGAAAGAGAGAGAAAACAACATTCAGAGGAGAACAGCGAGAGAGAATGAGAGACAAGGCTGAGGAACACAGAATGGGAACCAGAGAGGTGCAGATGGAAGACCAAGTCCAAAGGGATCTCTCCCCCCAACCCCTCTCTCAGCTTTCTCCCCACCCCCAGGCCAGGAAGCCAGGGATGGCCAAGCCCCTCCCACAGCGCTAAAGCCCCTGAGAGCCAGGGCAGGGAGAGGACAGTAAGAATAGACAGGCCTGACCTCTGGCTGCAGCATGGACTAGGCTCATGACCACAAGGGTGGCTGGGAGCAGGACACCCCTTCCTACCACAAACCCTGCCGCCCTCATCCTCCACACACTGGAGGCTTGGCTGAGCTCCTTGCACTATGCCAGGCACAGCAGAGCAGGCTGGAGGCGTGTATTTCCCTCCCCACAGTCGTGCCCGCCTTCCCTGGCTGCCCTTTCCGCTCACGCCCAAGGCCTCCATCCCTCACCCGCGTGGTGCTCTCATGCGCTTGCACGCTCTTTCTGTTTCTGTCTGTCCGAGCGCCTCGCTCTGCTTCCCGTCTCTGACTTGTTTCCTGATCTCCGGCTCTTTGTCTACTCTTTGCTGCTCCGTTCCTCTCTGCACTTCTCTGTCGCTGTGACAGGCACGCTCCGAGTCTGCCTGAGTCTCTCTCACTCCGTCCCCCTCTGGCCTATTTCTGGACCCCCCTCCCTCAGACAGCCCCTCTCGCCCTCTGGTCTACCACATGCCCCACGAGGAGTGCCAGCAGAAGCCCTGGAAGCTTCCCGGAGCACTGCAGGGGCTTTCCCCTTCTCCCTGTCCTTTCCTCTCTCCCTACTCACCACCAGACTCTAAATCTCCGTGGGGCTCCCTTCAGAGACAGAAGCTGAGACACGACCCATAGGCCACTCATGTGGAAGACCTGGAAACAGAATCCCAGGACCAGAGGAAAAGGAGGCCCCTGGGGAGGAATGAGAGCCCAGGAACACAGCTGGAGACCCAGAAAAGGAAGAAAGAAGACAGCAGTGGAGCCACAGGGAGAGGAAGAGGAAAAGAAGGAAAGCCAGGGGCCCAGGCCCACAAGGCAGCGTGAGCCACGGGGCCCAAGGGGTGGGGTGCTCACAGTTTCCAACACACTGCTGAAGACATCCAGGGCCAGACTCTGAGGGCTGCCCTCCGCCTCGCAATCCTCGGCGGTGCTCCGAAGAGCCCTGAGGAACAGCTCCCTCTATTGAATCAGGGCCCCTGGGCTCCGTGCCTGCCAGAACAGGGGCTCTCGGCCCCATTTGCCACGGGACTGTCAGGGATCCAGGGAGCCATCAGTCCTGAATCTGCTCGGCAACGGGAGCCATTTTTACCTCTTTCACATCTGTGCGCCCTGACAGACACCCCCAGGCCACAGCTATGTCACCCACCTAGTGGCAGAGCAAAGGGCCTAAGGGATTAAGCAATCTCTTGCCTCCTCCAGAGCCCCACAACAGGAAACAGCCCTCTGCACCTGGACTCCACATCCAGTGAGGAACGCCACAGCTGCAGGCCCCGTCCACAGCTGACTCACACAGCTGCCAACTGCAGACTAGCCCAGCAGGTCCCACCCCATCGCTGCAGCCCACCCACATGCAGAAGAGCTGCCCTCAACTGAAGCTCTGTCCCAGGCCGGCCCACCCCCCTCAGCAACACCTGTAACACCACACACCCTCGCCCTGTAGCCACAGCCCCCAAGGTGCGCCTCAGAAGAGGCTGACTGGACCTGGGGATCTGCACAAACCCCTTACCCCACCGACACTTCCGGGTCTTGTCTGTAGAACATGCCCTGCCCTGGGAGCCTAACCTCAGCTCCAGAGAGCACACTACTACACTACACCCCTGCCTGCGGGAGGCACCCCAAGCTGGGCTCACTGTCCCTCCCTCTGCTGCCCTGGGGTAACTCATCACCTCGAAGACCAAAGGCGAGAGCCTTTAGCACCACAGCTGAGCTCCTGCCTCTGAGGCCTTTAGGATGCGAGTGTGCGGGTGCCCTGGGGTGCACCCTGGTGCGTCTGTCTGTCTGCTTCTCTCTGAGTCATCTCAGTGACCCCAGATCTACTCCACACCAAAGGCCATCTTATCTTTTTGTGGAAGGATGAAAGGATAGAAGGGAGGGAGAAATAAGGTGGCAACACAGCCCTGCTGCTGTCCTGCCACTCGGTGGGCACAGCATGCCCAGGGCACTTCAGACTCTGAGGACAGACCACTATCCATGTGTGTCCAACGGGGAGTCACAGCCAGCTGCCCAGCCATCCTTGCTACCCACTTTAACCATAACCTACTCCTTGGCTTCTCCAAAACCTTCAGGACCTCCTCCAACTCCCTCCTCCACCCACAGAGTTCTTGAGGGCTCACCCCAAGAATAGCTAAGCTACCCCTCTTTCCCTACCTCAGCCCCTTGCAGGGCCCTGGCTCAGGCTGGTAGTGTTCACTTCTGACTCCCCACCAGCCTGGGCACTTTGGAGACCACATGGGTTCACCTCGTCTCAGCATCTTTAGACGATGGCACAAGACCCAGCACACAACAAATCCCAGCAAAGATTAGCTGCAGGAATAAATGGATGGATGTGGTTTACGAGTCTGTTTGCTCACTTACTTATTCATTCAAAAAATACTTGCTGAACATTTATACTGTGCCATGGACTGAGCATCAGCATGTTAGACAAATAGAGAAGTTCTCCTTGCCAAGAAATTTGACAGACAGAGGCGCTAAGCACAGAACCAGATGCAGTGCTAGTGATCAGGAAGGACGAGGGTGTAACCCAGCCTGGGGGACAAAGAAGGCTGTTCAAAGCCGAGGAGCCTTAGAAGAAGGTAGGCCGTGACCCCCAGGAAGAACCACAAAGGGGTGAGGAAGGGGAACCCCAATGCTGCGTGAGCGTCAGAGGCAGCCCAGCACTCTGGCGCTGGCAGAGGGTCCCGCCCATCCTGGAGCATGGAGGGGGCCTCCAGACAGTGTGAGGAATCACGCATCTTCCAAGTGGCTATTAGAATCTTTGTTGTAGTTGTGGTTTTGTAACAAAATTACGCAGGCCTCCTTCAAAGGCATCTCTCTCTGGCAGGTTAAACTTTTCCTTAAGCCCTTCAGATATTTTGGCAACAGTCTTCAAGGCAAGTTTACAAACTCCATCAGCAAGTCATCTCTCCACTGTATAACTGCGGTTTCCATTGAAAAATCAACAGGTATGGGAGTAGGTGTTTAGTCTCGCAGTTAAGACACTGTTAAGATGTTGGTGAAGAGGTGAGTATTGTGGCACCACTTGGGACACCAGTAGCATTGAGTCCCGCCTCTGTTTCTGATTCTAGCTCCCTGCTAATGTGCCCGAGAGGCAGCCTCTGCCACCCACATGGGAAACTTGGATAGAATTCCTGGCTCCTGACTTTGGCCTGGTCCTGCACATCCCACGTCAGAGCGCCTGGGCTCCACTTCCAGCTCTGGCTCCTGACTCCAGCTTCCTGCTAACGCAGATCCTGGGAAGCAGTGATGTAACAAGTGACTGAGTTCCTGCCAACCATGTTGGGAACCCTGAATTGAATTCCTGGCTCCTGGCTCCTGGCTCCTTGCTCCTGGCTCCTGGCTCCGGCTACAGTTCCAGTCCCAGTTATTATGGACATTTGGAGAATGAACCAAAGAATGGAAACTCTCTCTTTGTCTGTCTGTTTCTGTTTCTCAAATAAGCCTTTTTTAAAAACAAACAAGTAGCCCCAATATAATCCAATCTCTTCATTGCTTAGTTTATCAGAGCTGGCACTAAATCAGACATCAGGTATTTTCCCAAATCAAATTTACTCCTGAAGCACAAAGATTTGCCACCCTGTGGAGATTTCTAAAACTATGGTATATTTTAATGGGATGGAAGAATGGGAGCTTAAGCTCAGGCAGACCTGAGTACACATTCTAACCCTACCACTGACCTCCTGGGCGACCGTAGACAGATCGCCTGGGCTCTGCATGCCTCAGTCTCTTTCCTTTGTAACAGGTACTCATACTTCACAGGGTTGCAGTCAGAACTAAAATCACAGTGCCCAGAACAAGCCATGAGTGGCCCCTAACAAATGTCACCCTCCCCATTGGGATGTAACTGCTGTCTGTCATGTGCTACCAAACCTGTCACACGTATGTCTATGAAGCTTGAGACTTAATGAACAACTATTCAGAGACAAAAAACCAAAATCACAGACCTGTCTGCCCCCTCCATCTGTGTTCCTGTAGCCCGGCTGTCACACATCCCTCAAAGCCTGCCTCCTGCCCCCAAACTAATTCTGCATCCTGGAAGTGCCTTGACCCTCTTTTCAACCTGAAGGGCATCACAGCACACGGGGATCCAGGGAGAGCTGCAACTCTGGTTCCCTGGAGAAGGCACACCAGGAAAAGGACACATGTGTAACTATGACGCCCATGTTCCTCGCCAGCTAACACAGAGGTCCTTGAATGAATTCAGGTGGGCTGTGACTATATGAAATTGTAGCACGATCTCATTAACCTATCTTTGTAAAAGTAGCATCTATGAGCCAAAGTCCTGAAATGTGTGGTGTTAACCACAAGGAGGTTTTTGAAAATTTGCATTGTTGCCAACATTTAAAAATTAGATTTCACATAAAAATATGAATTTCTGGCTTCTCCTGAACAGTCAGAAAATCTGGCAAGCCAGGGCTGCATCTTGCATGGAGACAGTCCAAGGGGCTAAAAAGCAGCACCTACCCCACAGATTTCCCTGTCTGCCATGGTCAGTCCCTGTCACACCAGGTGGCAAACCCTGGGACACAGCTCTCGCCTGCTTCCTAAGGCTGTGATTTCTGGTACAGAGAAGAACTCCCTGGTAGGAGGCCTGTGAAGGCAAAATGTGGCCTCCCTGGGATTGGAATAGGGGTGGCAGCACAGTGGGGGGGGAGCAGCCCTACCCAAGATGTCCCCGCCCCGCCCTTCTCCAGATGCTCATTGCCAGGGCCTCACCAAGCCAAGTGGTGCGAACACAGGGCAAACCCCAGAGCCTTTGCTTCCCCCAGAGCTGAGTGACTCCAGAACTCGGGCTTCTGTCTGGGAGTCTCAGGGGCTCCACAGAGGGGCTCCAGAAATCCTCATCTGTTCAGGGGAGATCTTGCAGCTGTATTTTGAGCTCCTGCTTTCCGAGGCTACACGCTTTCAAAGAACAACTTTCATCTTCACAACACCTCTGTGTGGTAGGTGCTGTTAATTACCCTCCTTTGACAGGTGGGGAAACTGAGCCACCTGATCATTCTTCCTCTACCTCCTTTTGGCCTCAGGACAATGCCTCAGGTGGATTCCATTATTATTCCCTTTATAGATGAGGAAGTGGAGACTACAACTTTCCTAAATCCCTCACAAAAAAGGTACTCAAACATGGTGGGCCCTAAAGCCGTGATCTGAGCCACTGAGCTGCCCCTACTCCTACTGAGCCCTAATCCTCATCAGCAGATACACATACAGTCATCAACACCCAGAACCACAAGACGCACCGGTTAGACTGGACCTCGCCGGGGACAGACACAGAACAGGGAAGGGCAGCAACCCCCAGGGGGAGGCTGGGGACAAGGATGGGGAAGCAGAGGCTTTAATAAGCAACAAGCAAAGCACTCAGCACATGGCCTTACCTCTTGGGTAGACGCAGCAAAGCTAGTACATTCAGGCCACCAACCCAGTCCAGCTGAGAACCTGGAGAGAGAGGAGAGTGGAGTCAGGGTCCCAGGAATCCATCTCCACCGCACGTAGGGTACTGCCCTCTCCCATGGAGGGACCCTCCTCCTGTCTCACCACCAGGAGTTGCACATTAGTGAACTCGGGTCCTGCCATCCACTTGGGGCCTTCAGTGGTCATTTCCAGCCTCTGGTCTCAGTGTTCCCATCTCATAAATGGGTATACTATTGACTGCCCCTCTTCTCACCAGACTGGAAGCTCCTTAAAGGGCAGAGACTTTGTCTTGAAGCTTGAGCATTTGGCAAAGGGCCTAGCAAATTTGAGATGTTCAATAAGTACATAATGACTGAGGAAACAGGTAAATTAGCAAGCTGAATCTCAAAAGACTGCTGGACTAAAGGAGAAAGGAATAGGAAAGGGTTACCCATTATTAGGTACCTGGGTGCTGTGTGCAGAGAGATGAAAATAAGTCATAGTGGGACCGGCACTGTGGCGTAGCTGGTAAAGCTGCTGCCTGCTGTGCTGGCATCCCATGTGGGCACCAGATCAAGTCCCAACTGCTCCGCATAGGATGCTCTCTGCTAATGTACCTGGGAAAGCATTGGAGGAAGTACTTGGGCTCCTACACCCCTGTAGGAGACCCGGAAGATGGTCCTGGCTCCTGGCTTCAAATCAGCCCAGCTCTGGCTATTGTGGCCATTTGGGGAGTGAACCAGCAGATGGAAGATCAATCTCTCTCTCTCTCTCTCTCTCTCTCTCTCTCTCTCTCTGCCTCTGTCTCTGCCTCTCTGTAACTCTTACTTTCAAATGAGTAAATAAATCTTTTTAAAAAAGAAAAGAAGTCATAGTAATGATACTTTTTTAAAAAAATTTTATTTATTTATTTGAAAGGGAGAGCATCAGAGAAAGAAGAGATAGAGAGACAAGAGAGCTCCTCCATCCACTGGTTCATTCCCCAAATGGCTTCAACTGCCAGGGCTGGGCCAAGCCAAAGCCAAGAGCCAGGAACTCCATACTGGTCCCCACATGGGTGGCAGGGACCATTATCTCCTGCCTTCCCAGGCACATTAGCTGGAAGTTGGATAGGAAGTGGAGCAGCCAGGACTGAAACCAGCACTCTGATACAGGATGCTGGGGTCACAAGCCTGGATTAACCCGCTGTGCCACAACGCCAGCTCCAATGATGCTTCTGACTTTGATATTTGTCTACTTGCTTATTCATTAAGTTAATCAACAAATATTGAGCTTTCTCAGGGGTAGGCAGAGGGAGTTGTGGAAGTTCTAAGGGAGGGCCAGGAAGACTCAGGGAGAAAGTGACATCCAAGCCAAATGGACAAAGAGCCAGGTGGAAGGAAAGGCTGTGAGGCTTTGCCTGCCCTGAGCACAAGGAGCCACGTGGAGGGGTGAGAGGCTCTGGAGACCCCAGCAGCTTCCTCCTGCAGGACACTGGGAGCCTGGTCCAAGCAGCTGAGGCCTCACTGGAGGGGGAGAGACACACTCAGCTGTCCTTGGGAAGGCACCTCTGCAAGCTGCGTGGAAGTGGACAGGACAGCAAGGAAGAGAGAGAAGCTCACTTGTTGCCTTCAGTGATCATTTCTGGCCTTTGGCCTCAGTGTCCCCATCTCATAAATCGGCAGACTGGGAGACCCCCTCTCCAAAGAGCATTCGCTGAGTCTCTGCAGCCCTGCAGGGAGGAAAGTCAAGGCTGGTATCATCCCTATACACATGCGGCCAGCAAGGCTGCCTAGGATGTGCACAGAAACGGCGAGAGAGCTGAAGTCTGGGCCTCCTACTGCAACCTAGTGTCCCGCCTTCTTGGAAAAGCTGTTTGGACCTATATAAGGACCACTCTTGCCTCTGCTTGTTGTGGACATTCAGAGAAGGGGCCAGGGACTGAGTGATAGGGAAAGACATTCCAGAGACACGACTTCAGGGAGCTCTTCCCACCAGGCAGGTACTGACGAGTGGACAGTGAGCCATGGCCCAGAGAGGGAAAGCTCTGTGGGCAAGGTCACACAGCCAGTAGGCCCAGTCCCATCTGACGTCCATGTGTCCCTGTGGGTGTGCTCCTGAGTGGGGAATGGAGAAGGGATGACTAGCAGTGACCATGGACTTTGAAGTCTAGTAGACAACTTTTCTGTCGTGGAACATCTGCCAGCACAGATAGGGAGACTGAGGCACAGGGCAAGCGGCGAACACATAGAATTAGGGAAGGCCTGGGGTTTAGGAGCAGAAAAAACATGGACTGACATGGAGGAGAGAGGAAAAAAGGGAAGAGATGAGGGACAGAGAGGAGGAGTGAAGGGAGTCACAGGCAGAGACCAGAGAAAAAAGTCTAAACAGTAAAGAAATGGGGAGGAGGGGGTAGGTAAGGAGCCAAGACCCACCCAATTCTCCCCACCTCCTCTACCTGGAGCCCTCACTGGGCCTCCACCTTCAGAGGCAGCAGAAGGGGTCCGGGACCACTGGTCCCTGGGGGGAAGAGAGAGCTGGGGTTGCTCCCCCCTCAGGGCTGCTCCCCCCACCCCGCCCCGGAGCTAATCAGCGGCTGTCATCTCCACGGTGAGGTCTTGGTTAAGGAGATTTAGGGCCGGGATCAATAGGAAATTTAAAAATCGATGCAGCGCGCAGGGCAAAATCGATGGCGTTTAATCGCCTTGCCGATTCCCAGTCAAAACAATTAGCCGCGCTGAGTGTTGAACACGGTGGCGACACGGCATTAACCGTCAATATTGGTGTAAGTGATGGCGGGGAGGGCGGGGGATTCCCTGGCCCAGCAGGGCCTGGAGTCAGCGCCTTAGGGCTGGGGTCTCCCCCTGAGGCAGGGCCCCCACACTGGGGCTTCCCTCCACAGGGCCCACACGTAACTCTCATCTCTCTGCCACCTTCAGCAGTGCTGCCCGTGGGCAGCCCCACCCCGCAGGCCTGCCTTCAACTCTCCTCATCCCATCTCCCAAGTACCCAAGCACCCACGTGCCCTTGGACGTA